TGCATGTCACACAGGTGTACGTGCGCGTATGTCACACACGGCTTAATGAACACCTGTTTACAATAGTACTCTACAATCACCGAGGATGCACTAGACCCGTAAGTATCAAACAGCACCACGTACATGTGGGGGAGGATAGTGTTATTTTGATCATGTCACACTCTTCACTGGCTCATTTCGAGTGCATCTTCGTGGACCCAATAATTTAGAAGTTCGACTTCTATAAGCTCGGTAAATGATTTATTACAGGAATGTAATAAGATACACCATGCGAATTATGGATCTTTATTTTGACAACATATCGTCAACTAGAGTTTTATTAATTCATACAGTATGAATTGGCCTTATTTACTTATTGTCAATATTGTCTACCATTGGAGTTGATTAAATGGTTTGAAGACCTGGACTACCCTTCACCGACGTGGCATTCCGTGTTATCCTCTCTTGTGTCTTAGCTAAACAAGACGATTTTGACCAGACCGTGTATGAGCCAGACTGTGTTTTGACCGTGTTTGAACCTTACTGTTTTGACCAAATTGTGCATTGATATGACTATTTTGGCAGGGCTGTGTCTCGAGCAGACTGTCTTAAGCCTGACAGTGTTTTACTCGTTTTAAGGCTTCCGTTCATACCGCTGTACATCACATTAGTTAATGTAGTTTCTGCATGTCTTCAATCAATGCTACTTTCATATCTTTTTCTGAATATGTGGAAGAGATAACTAGACACACTGGTCTGTATATACTTTAGTCTGCTAAGTTGGATTTTAATGTATTTACATTCACACTTGATCTGTTAGAAGGTTGAACGTCCATACGTCTACTTTCTCTTTATTTTCTCATTCTGTAAGCTACCTCTTCACGGACACATTTGTTAAATTCCTTTCCAAAATCTCTGTGTTCATTTAGATTTTTTTTTCTCGTACTAGCGGTTGTAAGATACAGTACCTTCCAGCTGTGAAACTATGCTGACCTCACTTGTAAAACCCCTACCTTCAGTCCCTAAAAAATAAAATACTGGCAATGTAATTTCTTAGCATTATCTCAAATATGTTTTATGGTCAAGAATTAGACACGTGTGCAACAACTGGGTATTTTCATTATTACTTAATAAAGATACCCAGATACTGCACATATCTATATCTTCAACTTGATTCTTCAACTTGATGTTGTGATGTTTTTTGATGTGTGATACTTACATACCCTCCCCTGTTTTATATTGTGAGAGGTTAAAAAATATATTATATATTATTGTATTAACACATAGGCCATCTCCCACCAAGGCAGGGTGGCCCGAAAGAGAAAATCTTTCACCATCATTCATTCCATCACTGTCGTGCCAGAGGTGCGCTTACACTATAATTATAAACTGCAACATTAACATCCCTCCTTCAGAGTGCAGACACCGTACTTCTCATCTCCAGGACTCAAGTCCGGCCTGCCAGTTTCCCAGAATCCCTTCATAAATGTTACCTTGCTCATTCCAAAAGCACGTCAAGTCCTAAAACCCATTTGTCTCCATTTGCTCTTATCTAACTCGCTCACGTATCTTGCTGGAAGTCCAAGCTCCTCTCACACAAAACCTCCTTTACCCCCTCCAACTTTTCCTAGGCTGACTCCTACCCCGCCTTCCATCCCCTACATATTTATACTCTCTCGAAGTTGTTCTATTTTGTTCCAACCTCTCTACATGTGCAAACCACCCCAATAACTCCTCCTCAGCCCTCTGGATACTAGTTATGGTTATCCCACACGGCCTCTTTATTTCCAAACTACAAATTCTCTGCCTCCAGCCTTCTCCTTGTTGGAACATTCACCACCCATTCTTTGCACCCATATAAGAGCATTGGTATAATTATACTCTCATACATTCTTCTTCCTTGCTGCCATAGGCAAAGTTCTTTGTCTCCACAGACTCCTACGTGCACTACTCACTTTTTTCCCCTCATCAATTCACCCCATCTCTCATAGACCCATCTGCTGACACATCCACTCCTAAATATCTGAACACATTCACCTCCGCCATACTTTTTCCCTCCAATCTGGTATGCAATCTTTCGTCACCTAATTTTTTTGTTATCACCATACTCTTTTCATTTTCACTTTTAATTTTCTTCTTTTACATACCCTACCAACCTTATCCACCAACCTCTGCAACTTATCTTCAGAATCTCCAAAAAACACAGTGTCATCAGCAAAGAGCAACTGTAACAGCTCCCAATTTGTGTTATATTCTTTATCTTATAACCCCACACCTCTTGCCAGCACCCGAGGATTCACTTCTCTTACAACCCCATCTATAAATATATTGAACTACTAGGGTGACATCACATATCCTTGTCTAAGGAGCGCTTTTACTGGGAAATAATATCCCTCTCTCCTACATAATTTAACCTGAGCCTCACTATCCTTGTAAAAACTCTTCAATGCTTTCAGTCACCTACCTCCTATTCCATACATTTGCAACATCTGCCACATTGCTTCCTATCCACCCTGTCATACGCCTTTTCCAAAATCCATAAATGCCATATAAACCTCTTTACCCTTATCCAAATACTGTTCGCCTCTATGTTTCACTGTGAACACTTGGTCCACACACCCCCTACCTTTCCTAAAGCCTCCTTGTTCATCTGCTATCCTACTCTCCGCCTTACTCTTAATTCTTTCAATAATAACTCTACCATACATTTTACCAAGTATAGTCAACAGACTTATCCCCCTATAATTTTTGCACTCTCTGTTGTCCCCTTTGCCTTTATACAAAGGAACTATGCATGCTCTCTGCCAATCCCTAGGTACCTTACCCTCTTCCATACATTTATTAAATAAAAGTACATTTATTAAATAAAAGTGGGGATATAGTACTAAAAGTACTATATCCCCACCTGCTTTTAACATTTCTATCTTTATCCCATCAATCCCGGCTGCCTTACCCCCTTCCATTTTACCTACTGCCTCACGAACTTCCCCCACACTCACAACTGGCTCTTCCTCACTCCTACAAGATGTTATTCCTCCTTGCCCTATACATTAAATCACATCTTCCCTATCTTCAACATTTAACAATTCATCAAAATATTCCCTCCATCTTCCCGATACCTCTTACTCTCCATTTAATAACTCTCCTCTCCTATTTTTAACTATCAAATCTATTCATTCCCTAGGCTTCCTCAGTTTATTAATCTCACTCCAAATTTTTTTCTTATTTTCAACAAAACTGGTTGAAAACAACATTTCACTCTCATTTGCTCTATTTTCACAATTCTTCACCACTCTCTTAACCTCTCTTTTTCTCTTCAAATACTCCTCCCTCCTTGCATCACTTCTAGTTTGTAAAAACCTCTCATATGCTAACTTTTTCTCTTACTACTCTCTTTACACCATTATTCCACAATCGCTCTTCTTCCCTCCCGCACCCACTTTCCTGTAACCATAAACTTCTGCTGAACACTCTAACACAACATTCTTAAACCTACAACATACATCTTCGACCCCATTGACTATACACTCACTAGCTCATCTATCCTCCAATAGTTGTTTATATCTTACCATAACTGCCTCCCCTTTCAGTTTATGAACCTTCACCACTCTCTTTTACTTGATGCTTCTATTTTCTGTATCCCATCTACCTTTTACTCTCACTGTTGCTACAACTAAAAAGTGATCTGATAGATCTGTGGCCCCTCTATAAACATGTACATCTTGAAGTCTATACTACAGTATTTTATCTATCAATACGTAGTCCAACAAACTCCTGTTATTACGCCCTACGGCATATCTTGTATATTTTTTTATCCTCTTTTTCTTAAAATAGGTATTACCTATAACGAAACCCCTTTCTATACAAAGTTCAATCAAAGGGTCCCCATTATCATTTACACCTGGCACCCCAAACTTAACCACCACACCCTCTCTGAATGTTTCTCCTTTAGCATTTAGGTCTCCTACCACAATTACTCTCTCACTTATTTCCTACACACTAGCTTAGCATCTCCCAAAATCTCTCTCGAGTTTGTTTTTCTTTGCTTTATTTACTTCCTTCCTTCACAGTACTTTCTTTACTTGTGGTCTTGTGTACACCCCATCAAGTCTCGTTTTTTCATTGTGTGTTCTTGATTCTCTTTCTATTTACATATTTTTTTTAATATATCTCTATGAGTCATTTTTATACATATATAATTTTGTATTCAGCTGTTCTATACATAGAATTTTTGGTTAGTGATCAGAAACTTCTCGAATGGAATTTTGAATAGTTTATTTTGATATGTTTTTCTTGCGCTTTATTAAAATTGTTCATTTAAGAGCATAAAGCCCCTGTTTAGTTCCTCATTGTTCATGAAGATCACAAAAAGTGTTTGATAATTTTCTAGTAGACTCACAGTACCTGGTGTCTGCATGTTACTCTCCCCTTGATGACAACAGTGGCTTTCTAATGTCCTGAAAAAAAAAAGTTTGTGAAACATCGAACACACGAAAACACAGCGAAGCGTCAAGATTTTTCTTCTCACATAAAATACTAGGATTTTCCTTAATTTTTCTTTTATAATGCGCTTTAGAGAACAAAATTTATTTACAATGACTTGGGTTGTACCCTGTGCGAGACATAATGGTGAATATTTTTCCTCTTCAATCTGAGTAGCTAGAACGGTTTCCGAGAGAGCCAGTTCATTTCCGTGGCGAAGGCTTTTCAATAAACCTGTTATACTTCTCCATATCGCTTTATCCTTCATGCATATTCAGTAGCAATTTCCTTTTCTAAGTCCCTTGTTTATATTAATCTCAACACAGTCGACGTGGAACCTCACCGTGTATTTTCCTTGATATGTTATGTGTATTCCTTTTGAAGGATTTATTAGTATGCCTGTGTTAACCAGATTCCTTTACTTGTATATTATGGAGCAAATATCACCATAGTATTTCTTACCTGTACATGAGTGCCAGTGTCATTAACATCCCTTACCTGTATGTTGTAGTGTCAATATACCCCATGGTATTCCTTACCTGTATATGGGAGTGCCAATATCGCCATGGTAGAAGAGCACAAGGATGGTGTCATCTGTGGGTATGGGCGGTGCCACGTCACAAGGCAGCAACACGCGTCCGGACTCCACAGCGTAAACCACGGTGAGGGGACCTGCACCACCACCAGTAGCACCACCAGCAGCAGTAACACCAACAGTAGACACACCAAGAGGGACATCACCAGCAGCACCACCGGGAGAGGCAGCACCAGCAGTAGCACCACCAGTAGAACCACCAGCAGTAGCACCAACAGGAGAGGTAGCACCACCAGCAGCAACACCAGGAGAGGCACCCCCAGTAGTAGCAGCAGTACCAACAGCAGCAGCATCAGAAGTAGAATCACCAGCAGCATCACCAGCAGCAGCACCAGAAGAAGAACAAAGAGAAGAACGTAAGAATTAGTTCCTTTCAGAAAAAAAGGTGTGTGCTTCATAAGTAACTCAACGTGAGCACTGAGAAAGTGCTCCAGCTGTACTATTGATACTTTTGTTTAATCGTATCTGAGATATACATATCGCAGATTTTTTTTTTTTTTTTTTTTTGCGAGAGATATGATATTCAGTATGAAGACGCAGTGCAAACTTTTATTGTGACAACGTTTCTCCATATGTAGAGCGAAACGCAGACTCAATAGAAGCTTGTAGCGCATACTGAGTCCTCATGTCCAAACACATTGCCACGACGTACTACATTCAGGGGAAGAAAATAGGTTAAGGATTATTTTTTTCTTATAGGGGCAATACTTTGGCTATTTTGGGCCTTTGCTTGCATGTACACATGCAGACAGATAAATTAGAAGTTAGCTTGTGTCCACCCATAACAACAAACGCAAATACCCGTCAGATCAGAAATAACGGGCCCAAACAGGAAATAGGCAAAAATGGGAAAATTTAACAATAACGAAATATTTGAAAGCTTCTACATACCAACAGGAATGAGATTAAAGCTAAAATCTATCAAGAAAAACAAGCTTGATATAATTGCTCTAACAGAGACAAAGTTAGAGGAAAAAAGCCAATAAATGAGGTGGCTTTCAAATAAACATATTCAACATAGAGAAATAAGTATGAAAATGAACATCAGAATATTAATATTTGTTTAAAACACACACACACACACACACACACACACACACACACACACAAATATATATATGTATATATATATATATATATATATTATATATTATATATATATATATATATATATATATATATATATATATATATATATGTCGTGCCGAATAAGTAAAATTTGCGATTTTGGCTTAAATAGCAACGCTCTTCTTGCCGAATAAGGCAAGCAAAAATTTGTGTATGCAATAATTTCGCAAAAATCATTCTGAACCTAACGAAAAAAAAATATTTCTTTGTGGAAATATAAACACATATGCAGTATAATGTGATCCTTTATTGACTACGTTTCGCCCACACAGTGGGCTTTTTCAAGTCACAAACAGAACTACCTGGGGTGGAAGGAACGTGAGTATTTATAGTCCAGTTCAGAATGCTGAGGTCAGGTGGAGAATGCTGCATCTGATGATGTACCGAGTGGGGTTATAGAGTCTAAAAACTTGGGTAGCTTGGAAAGGAGATTGGATAAGTTTGTGAGCAGACCTCCTACAGTGTTCTTATGTGGGATAGCGATGAAGAAGTTTCTTGGCAAGTGGTTCAGCTATGTTATAGAAGCCACTATTCTGGTTGAAGTTGTCGGATATAGAAATAAGTGATGATTCCAGGATTCTTCGGTATTGAGTGTTGTCTTCTGTGGCGATAAGTCTTGAGTTTCTGTAGTTTATCAAGTGGTTGTGTGAATTACGGTGTTGTACGCAGGCATTCCTTGTGTCGTCAGACCTGCTTGCGTATTGGTGTTCTGAAATACGTGTTTGGAGGTCCCTTGATGTTTCGCCCACGTATAACTTGTTGCAGTCATTACAAGGGATTATGACTACAACAAGTTATACGTGGGTGAAAAATCAAGGGACCTCCAAACACGTATTTCAGAACACCAATACGCAAGCAGGACTGACGACACAAGGAATGCCTGCGTACAACACCGTAATTCACACAACCACTTGATAAACTACAGAAACTCAAGACTTATCGCCACAGAAGACAACACTCAATACCGAAGAATCCTGGAATCATCACTTATTTCTATATCCGACAACTTCAACCAGAATAGTGGCTTCTATAACATAGCTGAACCACTTGCCAAGAAACTTCTTCATAGCTGTCCCACATAAGAACACTGTAGAAGGTCTGCTCACAAACTTATCCAATCTCCTTTCCAAGCTACCCAAGTTTTTAGACTCTATAACCCCACTCGGTACATCATCAGATGCAGCATTCTCCACCTGACCTCAGCATTCTGAACTGGACTATAAATACTCGCGTTCCTTCCACCCCAGGTAGTTCTGTTTGTGACTTGAAAAAGCCCACTGTGTGGGCGAAACGTAGTCAATAAAGGATCACATTATACTGCATATGTGTTTATATTTCCATTGTGTCGGTATTTTATACCATTTATTTCCAATATTTCTTTGTGTTTGTTTATTAATTAATTATTATAAACTTATGTAAAATATATTTAGCTGGATTAAGCTAAATTAAATTGCGCTTGTTATACTAAGGTTCTTTTGGTACAAAATTATTAATTTTTACATTAACATAAATGAAAAAAATATCTTTAAATATATAAAAGAATTTTTTTTAGAAAATACTTAATTTTAAATGAGTTTTGCTACTTGACCAATTTTTGCCTATTTGGCACTATATATATATATATATATATATATATATATATATATATATATATATATATATATATATATATATATATATATATATATATATATATATATATATATGTGTAATAAGATCACAGTAAACAGGTGATTTCAAAATATGCAAAACAACCACTCTGAAAGAATAGAGAAATTCGTGACTACTCACATTATCAGTTCCTTGATAATGTGAGTAGTCACGAAAGCGCTTGGAATTTCTCTATTCTTTCAGAGTGGTTGTTTTGCATTATATATATATATATATATATATATATATATATATATAATATATATATATATATATATATATATATATACAAACAATAATGTAGAAATTTTAGTGGTACATATACCACATCAGTGTGAAAATCTCATGCTTGTAAAGGTACGTAAGTTATCATTTAATAACACATAGGGTAAGAAAAACTGATAGGGTTATAAGCACCTTATTGTTATAATTTCTTTCGAAAGTCGTCCAGATGAGTAATATTGACCAGAGTGATAAGACTTTAATAACAAGCAAACTGAGTGATGGTCTAAGGTATGGGAAGACAAAAACTGTCATCATAATGTTCAGTATGATGAATCACTTTAAGAGGAGCATCTGTACATAAGAAAAAAATACTCCATGAACACTAGACATAGTCTTTACTAGAAAAAATGCTATCAATGCTACTGTAGACCTAGAGTCTTCACGAATAAACATCATCAGCACTTCTGCAGACATTGTGTTTTCACGAATAAACATCAACACTACTGTAGAACTAGTGTTTAAAAGAAACGCAGTAGAAAAACATCCTCAGTTTACATTATTAGACTTCACTTGATGAAACTGATCCTATTCTTTTAAATATTTGCAACAAATAGAAAGCAACACCGGCCAGACGATCATTGAAAAAAGAAACTATGCTTGTCTAAACCAGATTGTCAGATAAATTAACTGAAACCCCATAAAATAGATTGTCAGATAAATTAACTGAAACCCCATAAAATAGATTGTCAGATAAATTAACTGAAACCTCATAAAATAGATTGTCAGATAAATTAACTGAAACCCCATAAAATAGATTGTCAGATAAATTAACTGAAACCCCCCGCATAAAATAGATTGTTACTAAAAATAAGAAAACTTCTTCAAAATAAAGGTCCATAATATTAAACAGTTTATTCCAGAGCATCAGAGAACTAACCAGTGCGCTGGTACGCCATGCAAAAGTCACTTTTGCAATCGTTATACACATAAAAGTCAAATGTTTTAACACGCAATATTACCACAAATTTTTAACGAAGCAGAAAGTGTTGCAGGGAGAAGAAGGAAGTTTGAAAATCAAATATGTCAGAAAAGAAGGAAGATGTGTTAAAAAAGATTAATGCAAAAAATGCAACACAGTAAATTTACTCAGCAACATTATGTAGATATGAGAGGCATCTCAACATGGCGCATGCAGCAACATGAAGCCAGGAGAAGATCGCAACATAGTGCATACAGCAACATACAACCATGAGAGGGCCTCGACATAGCGCATGCAGCAACATAGAACCATGAGAGGGCCGCTACATAGCGCATGCAGCAACATACAGCCACATACAGCCACATACAGCCGCATGCAGCAACATACAGCAACATACAGCATCATACAGCCATATAGAGCAACATAGAGCAACATAGAGCAACATACAGAAACATACAGCCACATACAGCAACATACAGCCACATGAAGCAACATACAGCAACATACACCAAAATATACCAACATACACCAACATACACCACCATACACCAACATACAGCCACATACAGCCACATACAGCAACATACATCAACATACAGCCACATACAGCAACATACATCAACATAGAGCCCCATAGAGCCACATACAGCAACATACAGCAATATACAGCAACATACAGCAACATACAGCAATATACAGCCACATACAGCCACATACAGCAACATACAGCAACATACAGCAACATACAGCCACATACAGCCACACACAGCAGCATACAGCAACATACAACAACATACAGCCACATACAGCAACATACAGCAACATACAGAAACATACAGCAACATACAGCCACGTACAGCCACATACAGCAATATACAGCAATATACAGCAATATACAGCCACATACAGTAACATATAGCAACGTACAGCAACATACAGCAACATACAGAAACATACAGCAATATACAGCCACATACAGCAACATACAGCCACATACAGCAACATGCAGCCACATACGGCAACATACAGCAACATACAGTCATGAGAGGGCCTCAACATAGCACATGCAGCAACAAAAAACAATATACAGCAACATACAGCCACATACAGCCACATACAGCAAAATACAGCAACATACAGGAACGTACAGCAACATACAGCAACATACAGCAAAGTACAGCAACATACAGAACATACAGCCACATACAGCCACATACAGTCACACACAACAACGTACAGCCACATACAGCCACATACAGTCACATACAGCAACATACAACAACATACAGTCACACACACAAGCAACATACAGCAACATACAGCAACATACAGTCCACATACAGCCACATACAGTCACACACAGCAACATACAGCAACATACAGCAACATACAGTCACACACAGCAACATACAGCCACATACAGCAACATACAGTCACACACAGCAACATACAGCCACATACAGTCACACAGAGCAACATACAGCAACATACCGCAATATACAGTCACACACAGCAACATACAGCCACATACAGTCACACACAGCAACATACAGCAACCTACAGCCACATACAGTCACACACAGCAACATACAGCCACATACAGCCACATACAGCCACATACAGTGACACACAGCAACATACAGTCACACACAGCAACATACAGCCACATACAGCCACATACAGTCACACACAGCAACATACAGCAACATACAGCAACATACAGTCACACACAGCAACATACAGCCACATACAGT